AGTTTAAGGACACAGTGGCAGGTCCACGCCACCTTACGTCAGCGTGTAGGGGGTAGTTCAGTTGGGAATGAATATTTCTGTGACACAAAAAACCCATAAGCCGGCCGTGCCTCTGTTCCCCGTCATCTCCTACATCAAATCTTAGTTCACATGAAAAAGTCATTATTACTATTAGTGCCCATAGTGCTGGTGTGATTAGAAAAAAAAAAAAAAAAATTGTGGAAGCTCAGATAAGCTGGAAATGTACAGCTACTCTGTCACTTATATTATTTTATACACGCCACTCTTCGTTTCGCAGACTTGTGGAAAGTTTAAATGTTTTTTTTCAGATATCAGTCAAAATATTTTTCTTATTACATCCATTGTTCTTCATATGAAAAATGAAACAGTTGCTGAGGTTTTGGATCTTATCTTTCCCCGCGATGGAGTCGGTGTCCCAATCAGGCAACTGGGCGATTCCATGATTAAAGACATTTACTTAATTCAATGATTAAAGTCTATCACAAATCAAGGTACATAATTTTTCTTTGATATTTTGTGTATGGGTTGTATCATAGACGTACATAATGATTTTGAAGACATTCACCACCGACCGTCAAAACCACGTCCATATGACTCGGACACGTTGCAAATCCTTACCATATTCGTTACCAGCGACCGCCATGGATTGACTATCGATCGGAGAAACTTACGAGGTTACGTAATTCTGAAAATACTAAATCCCATCTGAGACTACGTGAAATTATATCTGAAAAATACTTTGATGGCTGCCGGTGTGTACCAAGACCATTTCAAGGTGAAGGCATACACTTTCCACAGGTTCCATAAATTTTCGCGAAAGTGCCAACCATGTATCCGAGTGTAACTGAAGTGTTAGGGAATGTTATAAAAATGCATATATATATATTCTATTATATATATATATATATATATATATAATATATATAATAATATATATTATGTATATATATATGTATATATTATATCTATATATATATATATATATAATATAGATATATCTATATATATATAATGATATATACTATATGTATATATATATATATTATATATATATATATATATATATTATAGTATATACTATATATAGTCTATGTTATATATATATAATATATATATATCTATATTATATATATATATATGTATATATATCTATATATTATCTATATATATATATATACTATATAGTATATATAGTATATATATATATGATATATATATATGTTATATATATAAAATTTAATATTATATATATATAATAATATATAATAGTATATATAGATATATATATTATACCATATATCTATTATATATATATATGTATATATATATATAGTATATTATATATATATTCATATTGTATATATATATAATATTATATATATATATATATATATATATATATATATATATATATAGTATATAAATATAATATACATATATATATATTCCATTAATATAATATATAGTATATATATATATATATATTATCATATATATATTATATATTATATATATATATATAATATATTCTATATATATTATCTATATCAGTAATCTATATATATATATATTAATATATCTATATATTCATATATATATATATTCATATATATCAGATATATTCTTATATATATATAGTTATATATAGTAATATCTATATATACTATATCTATTCATATATATATATATAGATATATATTATATATATATATATTCTATTATCTATGTATTATATAGATATATATATATATATATATATATATTCATATATATATATAGATATATATATCTATATAAATAATATCTGAAATATATATTAATATTATATATATATATATCTATATATATATATATATATATAGATAGTATTATATATATGAAATATATTAGATCTATATCTATATTATAAGATATATCTCATATTAATATGATATATATACTCTTAATATATCTCTATATATATATCTCCATAGTATATCTCTCTATTATATATGAATATATATATATATATACTCATCTATTCTATATATATCTATATATATATATATGAATATATAGATATATATATATATATATATCTAATATATATATATTTTTATATCTATATATAAAATCTATGAATATCTATATATATATATATATATATATATATTCTCTATATACTATATATATATATATATATCCTGAATATATATATATATAGATACTATCTATCTCTCTATCTATATCTATATATCTATATATAATATCTATATATATGAATTGATATATCTCATCTATATTATATATATCCTATATTATATATATATTATATATATATATTATATATATTGAATATATATATATATATATATATAATATCTATATCTATCTATATCTTCTATATAGCTGAATCTATATAATATATATGAATATATATACATATATCTAATATATATATAGATTATAATATATATATAATATAATATAGATATATCTATATGAATATAGGTAATATCTCTATATATAATATATAATATATATCTCTATATATATATATATATTATATATATATATGCCTATATCTATAATTTCTATTATATTTATCTTCTATATATAGTATATTAGATATCTTATAATATATGAATATATATATATATATATATATATATATATATATATATCTCTATATATCTATAGTATATAGATACTGAATAATATATATATATATCTATCGATATCTATATATAGATCTATAATATATGAACCTCTATATATATATAATAATATTATATATATATATTATATATAATATATAGATATATATATGAATAATATATATCTAGATATACTCTATCTCTCTATAATATCTATAGATATCCTATATATATATGACATATATATATGACTATATATATACTAGATATATATATATATTATATGCTATATATATATATATATACTCTGATATTCTCTATGAATATATATAGACTATATATATATATATATCTATATCTCTCTATATATAATATCTATTATGAATATATTATATATTATAGATATATATATATCTATTATATATATATATTATATAGATATATATTATATATGGTAAAAAAACACTAATTGTTACATTATGTTTTTTCTTCTACCATAGTATCAACACAGAACGTTTGACTATTGATATATATGTCTATATAATATGTATATATATACATATATATATATATATATATTATATATATATCTATAATATATATAGATATATATATATATCTGAATCTATATATTATATATATATATATATATATAATATATATATATATATATATATATAGAATATATATATATATTATATATATATATATATATATAATATATAATATACTATATATATATAATATCTATATATATGAATATATAGATATATATATATATATATATATATATATATAATATATAGATGTATTTAATGGTACAAAAAAAACACTAATTGGTACATTATGGTTTTTTCT